GCTTGTCAATTCTCTGGCCCTCCAACCAAGCCAGCTCATCATAATTGCCCTCCCAATAACTATCTCCTCTAACATACTGTGGGCTCTACAGGGCAGAGACTGCGTCAGTCTGGATCAATATTGCATTCGTTTTTTACCCCTAAATTTTATTTATTTTCTTGTTGAGGATATACAGAACAAAACATACACCAATTCAACAGTTTTACACATACAATTCAGTGATATTGACGACATTCTTTGAGTTGTGCAATCACTCTTACCCTTTTTCTTTTTGAGTTGTTTCTCCCTCATTCACATAAATTCACTGCCCCCTAAGGTTCCTATCTAATTTTTTGAGTTGCTGTTGTCAATTTTATCCCAAGATCCAAGTTCTTACAAGAGCATAATGCTCAAGGTAGACATTGTTTTTAACTTTTTATTGTGAACTGAGTCAAAGTTTACATTTAGCAAATCATATACTTTGCTTTATTACAATGATTGCAATCCTCTCCATGTATCAACAGTTAACATTATTTACCTCTATTCACTTTAACTAGGAGTCTTGGTGTGGCACTGTGGGCTAATGCATCAGACTGCCAAGTTGTTTGAACAGCAATGTCAGTGGTTCAAGCTCACCAGCTGCTCCTTGGAAACCCTATACAGGGTCACTATGGATTGGAATTGACTCAATGGCATTTAACAAGAACAACATTCCCTTTAACTATTGCACTCTTCCCTGGATCTCCCCCTAACCTCCCTCTTGTTGTATATTGCCTACTCTGTCACTCATGATAACATGTGGTTACCCTCTAGCTCATGAATAATTTTTCCTTCCCTTTTCCCTCCCCCAGCCATTATTTATGGTTTCTTTTACTAAGAAAATCTTTTCTTAACTTTTCATATCATTGGTCTCATACAATATTTGTCCTTTTGTGATGGACAAACTTCACTCAGCATAAGTCCTCCAGGTTCATCCGTGTTGTGAGTTGTTTTTCAGATTCATCATTATTCTTCAACTCTGCATAGTATTCCACGGTGTGTACGTACCAAAGTTTGTTTAATCATTCTTCTGTTGATGGGTATTTAGACTGTCTCTATCTTTTTGGTTTATCTCTCATAGTCAGCACTTTGAAAGATCCTGTTTTCTTATCCATTCTGCTCTGTCTCTTGCCTGGTATATTTAACCCATTTAGATTCAGTATAATTATTGGTAGGTATGAATTGATTGCTGTTGTATTGCTGCGTGTTTTTGTGTGGTGTTGCTGTTTTCTTTGTTCCACATAATTTTCTATGAAGGCAGATACTCTTGTCAGATATATGGGTAGCCAAAGACATCCTACTAGTCAGTAGCTTGTGTTTTCACTCTTTTGATAAAACCTTCTGATGAACACAAGTTTTTTATTTTTATGAGGTCCATTTATTTGTCTTTTGCTGTTTGTGCATTTGTTATTATATTAGATAATCCAGGGTTGAAACCTAGGCCTGAGCGAAGCCTAGAGTAAATCAGAGAAGACAGATGTCGGTGGGGGGAGCAATTACCAAGTGACTGACCTGGTTGGAGGGGCAGAGAATTGACAAGAAAAGAATACCAGTGAAACCAGATTGTGAAGATTTTACTACCAATGCTCGAACATCCTGGGTGTTTAACAAGATATGGAGATCTTTTCCCTTCTAGGCACTCTGAGGACAGTAAACATCTGCTATGTTCACAAATCCTTCCTTGGGAACATAAGGAAATACAGAGCAGATCCCCTAAGACTGGCAGCTGTCTCCCTGGGATCCCTGAGGAAAAAGGAGAGGGCCTTGTTCCAGGCCCTGGACTGTTGCCACAGGCCAGATACCAGCATACAAGAAGCCGGGGTCAGCAGAGGCTCCTTGGAGGATGGGGAAATCTTGTACCCAAATGAAGACTGGAATTATCAGAGATCGGGAAAGGTACCCTAAGGTGTGGAGTGCTGCTCTTGTTCTTGCTCACCAACACCAGAAGCTACTCAGTCCCAAGTCAGGGTGGGGCTGCAGAGCCACCCAGAAGTTGCCCAGCTTCCAGACCTCCCACATGGTCCTTCTGGAGAATTTCCACATAGCCTTTTTTTTTTTTTTTCAAGGCAGTACATTGGAGAGAAGTTTTTCTGGGAAAATGGGAAAAGGACAACCCTTTCCATCTTAGACTCTATCTAGGCTGGGTACTGACTTCCTGTCCAACATCAACCTCTCTGCCCTGTCTACATCCCAAAGTCCCCTACATTGCATTCCTCCATTTGTTAAAGAATGCTATGGTGTCTTTTCCCCTACTAGAAGGCAAGGAGTGTTGTTTTTAAGTGCCTCTGAGTCAGTTCTGACTCATAGCGATCCTGTATAGGGTTTCTGAGTAGCAGTTGGTGAATTTGAACCACCAACCTTGCAGTTCAAACCGACCTTACAGTCCAGTGCTTATCCCACAGCACCACACACAGGGACTCACCACACACTCACCCACTGCCATTAAGTCAATTTTGACTCATTACCACCCTATAGGACAAATTAGACCTGCCCCCTCCAGGGATTCTGAGGCTGTATTATGTGAGCAGAAAGGCTCATCTGTCTTCCCTGGAGACTGGTGGGTTTGAACTGCTTACCTTGCAGTTAGGAGTCCAACATGTATCCCAGGTCTCCATATAAACACAAGGAGGTAGGAAGGGGAAGTTCGTGGAAACTTGGAATAGAAAGATAATGGAATTTTTCCACGAACTTTTTTAAGTCCCCTGGTATGTCACAAGTGCTTATTATTCATTTAGTGGGGGGGGGGGGTTCTGATTGAACTTGGGAAATAGGTGATTGATTGCAGGAGGGGGACATGACATGGTTGCAGGACTTTGAGGAGTGAAGTCTGGGAAGGGGTGCAAGGTCCTTTGGAGAAGGCCGCCGAAGAAAGGAAGGTGAGCAGAGAGGTGGAGAGGGACAGTGTCTCCTGGTCTGGGGGCCCTCGGCCTGGAGGAGGGAGGGCCCCTCATTTGCCCTCCAGGCCTTCTCCCTGTCCCACCACCAGGCTACCGGGCACCACCCCAGCCGCCGGGCCCGCCCACAGCCCCGCCCTCCTTGGGATTTAGTCCTGGCATCTGGGCAGCTCCGCAGCTGCAGCTTCCGCCTTCTCCAGGTGAGGGTCCCCTGTTCGCAGGGCACACGGGACAGGCCGGCGGAGCAGCCGCCGCGCGGGGCGCGTCCGTGGGAGCTGAGCCTTCTTGACTTTTCTACCCTTCCAGGGTCCTTCCCTTCCGCGGTTGCCTTTTTCCTTCCGACCTTGAGGCCCAGGGTCTCCTGGGGACCTGGGCTTGCTCTTGTCCTTTCCTTCCTCGCGCCAAGCCGATTCCTGCCCACTTCCCAGTTTCTCTGTCGGCCCGGCGTCCTGCTCTTGTTCCTCACTTAACTACAGTAGAGGGAAAGTGTGTGTGTTGGCGACCAGTGCCTAGAGAGCCTTGAGCCTTATTTAATAAAGGTTGGTGGAGCTGCCTTGAAGCCAGGTTACATGGAGTGACTCAGGTGTGCGGGCAGGGCTCTGTACACCTGGAGCTGAGCGCAGATGGGTGTGGATGGGACTGTGCACCTGGCAGCAGAGGGTGAGTGTGTAGGAAATACCTGAGCCTAGGGCAGGCGCACTTAGCTGCTGATCATAATCGTCTGATTTGATTTCAAGTGTTGCATTGGTTGGCCTTGGTGTATAAGAAGCGATGGATCTGGGCATCTCTCTGGTGAGGGAGCACAGGGCCTGCATAGCACAGGTATGTGTGAACACCTTGTTGTCTTCTGTGTTTATGTGGATCTTGTCATCTCACACTGCCCGTGTGGGGCAGTGAATTGCTATGTCCCAAGTACAGGTATTCAGAGATGCAAGAGGGTGTGTGGCAGTAAACCTTGGCATTTCATGGCAGTATCCTGGATAATGTCTCAGATTTGAGGGGTGGCGTAGCTGTAGCTTGGCAATATAGATACGGTTAAACCTGAAAAAGCTGAAACCTGTGTAAGGCAGAAACCTGTCAAAGAAGAAAAACTCAAATACCGTTATTTTCCACAAATAGAGAACCTTAGGAAAGTGTTATGATTGTACCCTGTCAAAGACAAAAAAACTGGGGAGACCCAGGAAAATGAAGGCTGCCCTATCCAATTCAGGCTTTCACAGGTTTCACTGTAGCCGTATGTTTCATTATACTACGTATGTGACAATATATCTTCTTCGTGTATCCTGTGTGTGTGTGCATGTACATGTACTTGCATGTCTGAAGTGAGATATGGTTAGCATCTGGATATCTCCATTGTATGAGGGGGCTTCAAAAAGTTCATAGAAAATTTGAATGAAAAGATAATGTAAATTTTCCATGAATTTTTTGAAGCCCCCTTGCATGTGCAATGGACCAAAATGGCTTATGTGTAAGGAGAGAAGTTATCTCAGGTATATATGAGTAAATGTGTACAATGGTGTACCTGAGTAGCTCAGGACAGTGTATCTGGGTGTCGGTGGGGTACAGGAACAGCATGCCATACTACATACATACAGGAATGGGGGTAGAGCCAACATACTTGAAGTCTGTAGTCAGGCAAACCAAAACCCAGTTACTGTCTAGTTGAGCCAGAATTCTGGTGATCCCACATGTGTCAGAGTAGAAGTGTGCTCTATAGACTTTTCAAGGGCTAATTTTTCAGAAGTAGATAACCAGACTTTTTTCTGAGGAGCCTCTGAGTGGACTCGAATCTTCAACCTTTGCGTTGGAAGCTGAGTACTTGTTAACTTGTACTAAGGAGAGCCAGTTTCATAGGTGGTGATGGGGAGAGTACTTTGAAATCTTGGGGATGGGGAACACTCTACCTGGGGTTTGTGTGTGTTGAGTAGCAGTGTTCCTAGCTGTCTCTCTTGTGTCCCTCCCTCTGTCCCTGAGTGTTTCCGAGGAGTTGGGGTTGAAATGGGACTGCCTCTGGGTGTCTTAGATGACCACCTTGGACTTTGTCTCTGAAAGAGAGTATCATTCTGCTTAGGGGTCTCTTCTTCAGACATGCTCCCAGAGGTGAGCTCTCTGTGGCTGCTGCAGCTGCTCCGGGACATCCAGCTGACCCAGTTTTATCGACCCATTCTTGAGGAGCTTAATGTTACTCGGCCAGAGCACTTTGACTTTGTAAGGCCTGAGGATCTGGACGGCATTGGCATGGGCCGGCCTGGTAAGGAACCCCTGCCTTGAGGCCTGGTTTCTTACCACTAGGTTGCTAGGCACTCCCCCACCTCAACACCTCTTCTGGCCTGTAAATCCCTTGACACCCTGGCCTCTGTTCTCTGATTCTGGTCTCTCCCAGCCCAGCGCAGACTGACCGAAGCTCTGAAGAGACACCGTTCTGGGCTTAAGTCCAAGAACTGGGTCTACAAGGTGTGTGTTTGGCAGGGAGAAGTGGGGCACTTAAAGGGCCAGTATAAGCCCAGAGATGGGGTGAGGTTCAGTGGCAGAGAAGAGACTGTTGTTCATGCACACTCTGATTTTTCACTCCTATTTCAGATCCTTGGGGGTTTTGCCTCTGATCAGAAGGAGACTACCCCACTCTCAAACAGCCCTCCATGTCCCCCTGAATCCGAGGGGGGACTCAAATGTCTGATCCCAGAGGGTGCTGTGTGCAGAGGAGAACTACTGGGCTCCGGCTGCTTTGGTGTGGTCCACCAAGGATTGTGGATGCTTCCCAGTGGCCACAGCGTGAGTGTCCAGGGAGCCTGCAGCTGCCTGGGGGCCTGGGTCTGCTGCTGTCTACTCTGCATGCCATGTCTGCCCTGGCCCTGGCATAGCTATTCCCCTGATGGTGCCCTTCTCCAGGTCCCAGTAGCTGTCAAGTCCCTTCGGGTGGGTCCTGAAGGACCTGTGGGAGCCAGGCTGGGGGACTTTCTGCGAGAGGTGTCTGTCATGATGAACTTGGAGCACCCACATGTGCTGCGTCTGCATGGCCTTGTACTGGGCCAGCCCCTGCAGATGGTGAGTAGATCCAGACCCCAGTTCCCCAATGGCCTGGAGCTGGCTAGCCTGTCAGGAAGGTGGGCGGCTGAAGTCCGTATATGGATGACAGCTCATCAATGTTATGTTACCTTAGGTGATGGAACTGGCACCACTGGGCTCCCTGCACGCGCGCCTCACAGCCCCAGCCCCTACACGCCCACTGGCTATGTCCCTGCTCTGCCTCTTCCTGCAGCAGCTGGCAGGGGCCATGACATATTTGGCGGCCCGTGGGCTGGTACACCGAGACTTAGCTACACGGAACCTACTGCTGGCTTCACCGCGCACCATCAAGGTGGCGGATTTCGGGCTGGTGCGGCCTCTGGGTGGTGCCCGGGGACGTTACGTCATGGGCGGACCCCGCCCCATCCCCTATGCCTGGTGAGGGGCGGAGCAACAGGTGGAGCCGGGCAAAGGGGTGGGTGTGTGGGAGGGGGATGTTTCCATGAGGACTGGAATGGAAGGCTAGGGCAAGAGGGGTCATGTCTGGAAGGACTTGAAAAGGAGGACTTCTGAAGATGATGCTCAGTGGGAGATGGAGCTTCGAGGGGCTCAAATCCTGCCCCCTTCAGCACCACTTTCATAGGTGTGCCCCAGAGAGCCTGCGCCAAGGAGTCTTTTCAACTGCCTCAGACGTATGGATGTTTGGGGTAACGCTATGGGAGATGTTCTCTGGGGGCGAGGAGCCCTGGGCTGGCATCCCACCCTACCTCATCTTGCATCGACTGGAGAAGGACCGTGCCCGACTGCCTAGGCCCCTACTCTGCTCCAGGGCCCTCTATGCCCTTGCCCTGCACTGCTGGGCCCCCCACCCTGACGACCGGCCTGCCTTTTCCTACCTGGAGGGGCTGCTCCAAGAGGTGGGAATACTCACCTCCCTAAATAGTTTCCCATCCCTCCATTCTCTCTTCCAGGGTTCTATGCACAAGACACACGTACTGACTCCTGTGCTGGCCTCTGGGACCTGGGTCTGAATAAAACTGATTCAGTCCTACCTGTGGGGAGTTTAGAGCCCTGGGAGTCAGCTTAGGGCTTAAGTGGACACAGGCTGACTGGGAGCAAAGAAGAGAGCGCTGTAGAGGGATGTGGATGTTGGACAGGCAGAGGAAGAGAAGTTCCACTTGGGAGGGAGCAGTACAAGAGGTATTTGTGAGGGATATTAACACTTGACTGTGTAAGTAAGGTACCATACTTTCACACGTATCTCATTTAATCCTCCTATCAACCTATGAAGTATAATTTTACAGATGGGGCAGTTGAAGCACTGACAGTTCAAGAAATTTGGTTAGGGTTCCCTTGGTCCCCTTAGGTAAGGACAGGTTTCTCCCTGTCCTCTGGGTTGTGTCCAACGTAATTTATGGAATCTGTCTGCCTCCCTGACTGGACTAAACTCTGGGGGACAGGGACAGTCCTACCCTCAGTCCAACATAGAGGACATGTCTGATATGGGTTTGATTGGCAGGTGCACAAATAAGGGGAGGGTTCTTCTTCTACCTACTTCCCATGACATTCCCCTTCTGACCCAGGCCACAAATCCATCCCCCTGTCCCCCATCTCCACAGGCCAGGCCTCCTGAGGGACATTGTGTGAAGGATGTCACAGAGCCAGGTGCCCTGAGGATGGAGCTCGGTGACCCCATTACCATCATCGAGGGCAGGTGATAACCCCATGACTTCTGAGCATCCCCAGGGGGACCCCTCTGAACCTTCCTGACCCCTGCTCCTTTCTCTAGGTCTTCTCAGCTCCTAGAACCTTATCCTCTATTCTCCTGTTCCCCCGGACCATGAGAACCCCACCACATCCCTGGCCTCCCTGCTGGAGCCACTACTGGCCCTCCCCTACTCCAGGCAGATGCAGCTCCATGGCACACAGCTTGAGGAGCTAAGTGTGGGCTGGACCCCAGCTCCCATGCTCCCTTGCTGCCGTCCCTCCTCACAAGCCCATTTTCCCACAGCCCTGACTCTACCATCTGGAAGGGCCAGAATGGCAAAACGTTCAGAGTGGGCAGCTTCCCTGCCTCTGCAGTGACAGTGGCAGGCTGGCCAGCCACCCACCCAGTCCACAGAAGCTCCCCACCCCATGGGGAGTACCACCAGGGAAATACCAAAGGGTGAGGACCAGAAAGGAAGATGCTGGGCTTGGAGGGGAAGAAACAGGTCCAGCAGCTTTTCAGGAAGGGAAGCCTGGGGAGGGGACCAGTGGTGAGGCTGCACTGGAAGCCCAGAGAGGGGACAGTAATAATATTATGTTGGGGGATGGTTAAGAGTGAGCGAGCAGACGATGAACTGGATCACTCTCCCTCAGGGACAAAGCAAAGATGAAGCATCAGGCTCTACCTCCAGCACGGGGCCAGAGAAGGAACATGCCCCTGCCCAGGACGAAAGGTAGCTATGTGCCAGGGACAGGCCTCCAGGTCTCTGATGAGACCAAGAGCCACTCTTCACTTCTGTCCCACTGCCCTGCATATAGACTTTCCCCCAGTTCTGCCTGTTGATATCCTATCTCTGCTGTAAGATGTAAAAAGGTTTGAAGTTCCCCTGCCTCCCCTACTGAAAGCATCTCCCATATCACTTGGCATCCATTCTGTACTTGTCCTCTTGTCCCACCTGGCACATGGACTGCCTTGAGAACAGGCTGGGTAGCTGATCTGTGTGCAGAATCATCCAGCTCAGTACCAAGAAAGAGCTAGAGGGACAGTGGCCAGCTTCGGGGCTCCCTATCAAGTTGTTCCCTTCTCAACTGTATAGGCATCTCCAAGAGCCTGGAGTCAGTTCTGTCCCTGGGCCCTCGCCCCACAGGAGGTGGTTCAAGTCCCCCTGAACTTCGACATGCCAGAGCTGTGCCTGAGGTACCCTCAATCCTGCCACCCCACCCACCCTTTGCCTCCAGCTCTTCTCAGTCAAGACAGCCCCCCAAGGTACGCCCCCCCTGGCCCAAAAGAGAACCTCCCCACAATTACCCTGTGGGGGCAGCTGGAACCAGCAAAGTCACGGTGCCGTCTAGAGGCCTGCTGGACCCTGACTTGCAGAGGAAGGTTACAGAGGTGAGATCTCAGAAGTGGCCTGATGTCCAGAAGAGGTTGCAGGCTAGCACTGTGGCCTGATGTGGCTTTCTCCCCTGAAGGTGGCGCTCAGTGTACATGGAGTCACCCACCAGGAGTGTCACACTGCCCTAAGAGCCACTGGGGGAGATGTGGTTTCTGCCATTCAAAACCTCAAGGTAGAGCCAATCTTCTGCCAGACCCCTTTCTGTCCTGTGTTTGCCCTTGGGCAGCCAGCTCAGTCTGCTCACCATCCTGCTTCCACAGGTAGATCAACTATTCCACCTGAGCAGCAGGTCCAAGGCTGACTGCCGGCACATTCTGGAGCATTACCAGTGGAATCTCTCAGCTGCCAGCCGCTATGTCCTGGCGCGGCCTTAAGTTCTGTTCCCCTGGGAAAGGGCACCAGCATGTAAATCCAGGTGGGGCCTAGGAAAACAAGGTCCTACTGCTCTCCCACTGGGAGAGATCCTGCTGCAGACAGGTACAGGGAGGTCAGCACTGACCAGCGCCTCCTCTCTACCTTGCTCTTTGGCCTCTGAGGGAGGGCTCAGGCTTCCTTGGCTGGGCCACAGCAGGCTCTATTCCACTCTGACCACAACATTGCCAAAGGAGAGCAGGACTTTAGAGGAACAGAGCTGCTACACATCATACACGGAGGAAACTTCTACTCACTGCAGAGAATGGTCAAGTGGTCATGGTGAACCATGGGAACAGCCCTCTTGAACTGCAATCATCTACCACTGGATCCTGTGGGAACAGCCATATTGACTTGGGGCATGTGGCCCTAACTGCTTCAGCCTCTTCCAGGACCCTGGTACCGTGTATTATGAGAGGGGCCAGGCCCCACTCCAGTCATCACAGTCTTCTTTGTTTCTTTCCACACCAACCCTGTCATCTGCCCCTCCCCTTATTACATATACCTTCCGAAGTCCAAAAAATTACAAAGTTTATATGAATATAACATACAAAGATGCAACCTGCTTCCTCAGGCAAGGGAAGGAAAGGGTGGATAAATAAGGCACAGGAACCTGCAGCAAGCACCAGCTGTGGGTAGGGCCCACGGGGCAGGGGAGGTTGGCACTAGGGCCCAGCCCTGATAGCAATTCGTGAGGAGGCAGGGATCATCTCAAAATTCCATGGTCTGAGGCTGAACTGATTGGCTAAGCTGATGCAGGGGAGGGGTGGCCATGTCTGCTATCCTTTGGTTCCATTTACCACCCTTTTCCATCCCAGCTCTGTCGTAACACCCCAAAGACCTGGGTTCCAAAGATCTCTTCTGGAGCAGAAGTCCTGGGAGAGGGTAGGTAGGAAAGGTTGGAAGGCCCATAGCCTGTGTGCCAGGAAACAGTGGTAGGAGGGAGCAGGGGAAGGGCTTTTGTACACACCCTTCTGCAGGGGCCACAGGTACAGGAGACCAGAGAGGTAGCTCAGGGATGGTGAGCGTGGCCCTCAGCCCCTCAGGTACCCCATCTGTCTCCTGCTGTATACACGAGGAAAAGAGTCTGCCTCTAAGAAGGGGCCAGGCCAGAGCAGGCGACCATCTTGAATTCTGTTGGAGGTGATGGTCTCCTCACCCTGAAGCGCCCTCTAGCGGGTGATGGCTGAAGGCCCAGCACCGCCTCGTTTCTCGTAGAACATGTAGTCCTATGGGGAGATACTGTCAATAGGACAGCTAGCTGGGCTCAGCTATACTGTAAGCCCCCATAAACTCTTCCCCTCACACCCACCTGCTCCTAGCAGGAGGCTAGGAAGTGCACAGAGCTCTAAGAGGAATAGAGTGCAGGGACGAAGACAGCCACTCACAATGAGGAACGTGGCTCCTAGTAGTACAGCCTTCACCTTCACATCCAGATCCATCGGGAACTGTAGGCCAAAGTCATCAGCATCCGTGAGGGCTTCTCGGACCAGGCCCCCCCACTGCTTGCTGATGCGGCCCACGCTGCGGGACTCATCCAGGGTTTTCACCTGTTGGGAGGGAGGGAAGATCCAGCTGGGGAGGAGGTAATTAATCTCACCCGCCTCCATTCATGCCCACAAGTACCATGCAGGTTGTCCACAGCATAAAGGCACCACATCTATGAGGACATCATGCACATTGTAGACTTGTACATTTACTAGGGAACATTTCTGGCACATGGCAATAGGTCTTTTAAAGAAGGGCACCTTTTTCTAGTGAACTAGCGTAGTGGTTTTCTAGTGGTTACAAATCGGGCTGCAAACCTTAAGACCAACAGTTCGAAACTACCAGCTGTTCCGCGGGAGAAAGATGAGGCGTTCTGCTCCTGTAAAGATTTACAGCCTCGGAAACCCTGTATAGGGTCGCTATGGGTCGGAACCGACTCCACGGCAGTTAACAACAAAAAAAAAAACACCATATGGGCTAGTGGCAACCTTAACAGGAAGGTGGGGAAAAGTTCACAGGATAAACCCCTTAAGAGTCAGGTACCTTGACCTGCCCTAAACTGCCCTGAACCTGCCTTCTAAACAAATTTCCTCTAGAAAATTGGGATTTAAAAATACCTGCCTCACAGGTTTGCTACATATTAAAGTACAAGTGAGTCCTTAGAGCACGCTGCAAAAGCCAAGTAAGTACACCTGACAGGCTCTCGAAACCCCACCCACTGGCACCAAGTCAATGCCAACTCATGGTGAACCGTCTGTGGCAGAGTAGAGAGTAGAACTGCTTCATAGGGTTTTAAAGGCTGTAACTTCAGAAGCACACTTTCAGGGCTTTCTTTGGGGTTGCCTCTGGGTAGGTTCAAACTGCCAACCTTTTAGTTAGTAATTGAGTGATCTTCTCCACCCCAGTAATGCCCTAAACCCAAAAAACAAATCTGGTGCAACCGAGTCAATTCCGATTCAGTAACCTTATGTAAGGTTTCTGAGAATGTAAATCTTTATAACAGACATCCTTATCTTTCTCTATAAGAGCTGCTGGTAGGTTGGAACTGTGGATCTTGTGATTAGGAGTCCTGTGCTTATCCTACAGTGCCACCAGGGTTCCTTAAGTAGTGCCCTGTTGTTAAGTGCCCTCAAGTCAGTTCTGACTCATAGTGACCCTGGACAGGGTTTCTGAAGAACGACTTCTTGTTGTAAAATGCCGTCGAGTCGATTCCAACTAGCAGGTACTAGAAACTGAACAGGGAGGGTTTGTCTCAGTCACTGGTCCTCAGATGTGCTCCAGGGATGGTTTAGAACTCTCCCATGAAGAGACAGAAACCACAAGTGCACTCTTAACCACCCTGGTGGTTGTATGAACCTCGACTTTAGACCTCTAGCAGACTAAACAGAGGGAAAAAAACATTTATAAAGCACCTATCAGGCACTGTTGTTAAGTGTCATCGAGTCGGTTCTGACTCATAGCAACCCTGTATGGGGTTTCCAAGAAGTGGCTGGTGAGCTTGAACTCCCAACCTTGTGATTTAAATCGACCTTGCAGTCTAGCACATTAACCTGCAGCGCTGCACCAGGACTCCTGTCAGGCATTAGACATATATTATCTCAGTGTCTCCTCCCAACAACCATGGGTTTTCATGTGACAAATGGGGAAACTGAGGTACCCTAGGTCACAATGTCAGTATGTGGCAAAACAGGCATTCTGACTCAGGTCTACCGTTTTCCAAAGGTTGTACGTGACATGACTGATCAGAGGTGGTAGGAGGAATGGAAACATGATCTAGTCTAATCCCCTTAGCTTATGTTGGTTACTAGGTTTGCTTTGGTTTCCAGTGTCCCTGCCACCCGTGATTGGTGCAGTTTGTGTCCTACACAAAAAACGCTTGGCTAAGACAGTGTTGTCTGCACGCCACCCATCAACCAGGCTTGTGGAGGGCTGTGTCTACTCTCCCACCAAAAGCAAACCAGCTCCATTGAGTTGATTCCAACTCATGGAGAACCCGTATCTATCCAAATAGAACTATGCTCCATAGGGCTGGTCTGTTTTAAAGTAAATCACCAGGCCTTTCTTCCAAGGCATTTCTGCATGAATCCCAATGTCTAGCCTTCCTGTTAGCAGCCAAATTTGTTAACTACTTGCACTACCCAGGGACTCCAAGGTGGCTTGTCTCTAATTTGAAAATTAAGGGAGAGTCATGTTCAGCATTGCATGCAAACTTCAACTAGAGGGAATCCGAGTCCATCTATGAGGTCAGATGAGGGCAACAATACAAAGCCTCTGAAGACTATGATTTCCATTTGTTTCTCTGAACCAAGAAGCCAGAAGTCTTGCCAGTGTGGGTGGAATTCACAAAGACTCACTGATCCTTTTCCTTTGCTGAAAGAGTGGAAGGTGAGTGACTGGAAGTGACTTCCTTCTATGTCCTTTCGATCCTCTTGCCCAACTGTCCTATGGCTCTGGGGCAATTTGTACAGCCCAGTCCCAGGCTGGGCAGGGTTTATCCCAGCCAGTCTTATGATCCCAAAGATATAAATAACCTCGAATATGGGCCATTCATAAAAGACTCTTTCTATGAGAACTCAGAGTTAACACATTTCCACTCAGAGATTACCCAGTTTCCATCACAGAGCTTCCCCCAACTACCAAGGTGACTCAATTTTAAAAAGTAAACTTAGGTAGGCAGAGCACCTTATCAGAAACTTTGAAGAGTCTGCTGGATTATACCTACTGCCCCTCCCTTATCTGCAGAGGTAATTATCCCTTAAAGGACTCAGGGGCTTATGGGGGTGCCTTTATTTTCTAGAAACCAAGGTGCTTCCTAGGTCTTACCCTGAAACTGTTACCACTTGGAGTCTCTCAACTCCAAGTTGGTGATAGGAATGCATGGTGAAAAGGGTATCACCTAAATTCCAGGATGTTGTTTGTTGTTGATGGTAGAGGGACCATTTGGCTTTCTATGTTGGTGGGGCAAACCACCGGATGTCAATGAGTCAGATCAGGCTCATAGACTTTTATGCACAGCAGCCACACAAGCCCCGCCTACAGCAGAATCAGTATCATCTTTCCTCTAAAATCTAGGCTGACTTCAGAGTTCCCTCAATGCAGAGCAGTAGGAAACAAATCAGTCTTGGTTCTTAAGATGAAACCCTCTTTGACATGCCTTTATAAAACCACTGAGCCATCTATTTCAGAATTGAGGAAAACTGAAAATGTGGGAGTAACAGTAGATATGAACTGAGAGGTTCAGTTTTAACCTTAGCATTGGCCATCCTGCCTCATGGAACTGCCATCTTGGATCACGGAAGTTGCCATCTTGGTTTATGAAGGTCCCAGGAATTCCCCTTCATTATACCTCAAAGTTAGTATCTGTGCCACAGCCACAGGTCCAGCAAGGTCCCACTACTCGCAGGACAGTCTGGCGATCAGCATCCTGGATGGAGAACTTGGGGAGGAAGGGATGCCAGGTCTGTAGTACGTGCCCAATGGTGGTGCCAGGTGGAGCCTGTACTTCCATCTAAGGTGGGTGGGAGCCAGAAAGGGTTACTGCCAAGCCAGGGTCCCCTGCTCCAGGCTGTACTTGCCCTGCCTGGTTCTATCATTTACCCAGCCTTCTCATTAGACCTTCCCATCCCCATAAGCCAAGCACACCTGAGCCACGCCCCACTCCTGACTCCACTCCATCATGGCCCAGCTCCTTATCCCAGTCTTTCTTTTGCCCCACTCCTACCCGCCCACCTCCTGGAGGCCACAAGGGCAGCAGCTGCAGCCACAGTGGAGAGGGCGGAGTAGGCGCAGCACTTCGCGGTCCCCGGAGTCCACCAGGCGGACACGCAATGGCCGGCGTGCGCCACAGCACAGGCGGGCGCAGCAGTTGCTCTCCTCAGCCGCTTGGCCCAGGGACTGTCCAGTGCCTGAGCGTAGTTCATACCGGTTACTGGCTTCCCAGCCTAGGAGCGCTGCCAGGGGTTATAAAAGTTCCACTGAGGCTCAGGGGCAAATGCAGGCCCAAGAGCCCACCATCCCTGCTCCATCACAAGGCACAACCTCTTAAGCCGTCACCTCACTCACCTTCTACTCGCTCAACCTTCTGGTGAATCAAGATCTGGTCAATCTAGAATGAGAGTAGGGATGCTGCCGACATTAGCTGGCTGGTCTGGATGGCGGTTCCCCTGTCACCCCCCCCTCTCTCCCACTGACCTGCACCAAGAATTCAAGGCCAGAGGGCACTCCTGGCAGTGGCAAGAAGGGGGCAGCAGGCCCTGGGGCCACGGGGCCGGGCGAGGGGAAGAGAGCGAAGCCAGGAGCAGGGCTGGGCACCTGGGCGGGTACCGGCGCCTGCGCGGGCCCAGGATGCAGCCCCAGCTCAGGGTATCCGGGAGTCACAGGATAGGGAGGTGGAGGTGAAGGGGCATAGCCTTTGGGGGACAAGTAGCCTGTGGAAACAGGGATCAAGGTTAGAAAAGGGCGCATAGCTTCATCCCCTCGCTCTCAGTCCCCAGACCATAAGGCAGCACGGTTAAAGTGGTGGGGAAAGTTGGGACATATGAGGCGAGGGAGCAGGGAGGTGGCTCCCCGAAGGAAGGGAGGAGCCCTTGTAGCTAGTCCGAGCACATTCCCGGAGGATGTGTGGGGCACTGGGCTCCCAAATCCATGGGGGGGATAACGGAGACCTCCAGTCCTGTGCCCACTTACCTGCCATGGAACAGAGGTGAGAGTCCGGGGCTGTCCAGGCCACTTAGTTTTAGAAACGGAGGCAGGCTCGGAGACAGCCAGATAGACACAGAGACAGACACAAAGACCGACGGGCAAACGCGGAGAGGCAGTCGTGCCCGGCGCCGGCCCAGGGTCTTGTGGGCGGTGCCTCTGACTCCAGGAGAAACCGAAAGTGTCAGCGGGTGGGGCGGGGTACCTGGGACCCTGGATTCCCTCAGGGGCCCCAGAACCGCCCCCTCCCTTTGTTCTCCCATTATCCGGCGGAGGTGGCCAGACAGGGACAGCAGAATAGATTGACCCTTGGTCAGACCGTCGACCCTACCTCAAGAGAAGCTTCCCTGACCCCTCCAAGCCCCATGCTCACCTGAAGCCCCCAGAATTGCCTAAGTGTCAGGCACTCCGCGTCTCTTAAGAACTAATGGAGGTGGGCCCTACATTTAACTCCGCCCCCCAACTCTCCCAGGTCCCGCCCCTACTGGCCTGGGTGCTGCGCCTGCGTTGATTTTCCTCCCAAGAGGAAGCCGACTGCACCGCACTCTCCTTGACGTCGCCGGTGTCCCCGCCTCTTCCTCCCTGACTGCAGTTGTGGAAAGGAAGAGCTCCTATGGAGGAAGCACGCTGAAACCCAACCCTGTGACACTCACCCTCCACCCCCGCCAAGCTCACAGGCGCAGAGCACTCGGCGCCCTCTGGTGGGGATGTGGGCCTCCTGCGCCGCGCTCCCGGCCCTAAGCGTGAGGGACCCCGGGCTCCTCCTCCCAAGAGCGGTCTGGGCCTCACTGAAGCGGCTTACCTTGCTTCACGTTCCTACTTTGTCTTCTGTGACTGGCTCTGGCCCCTTTTCTGTCTCCCTGGGGTTGTCTCGCCGTCTCCTTTCCCTGACTGAGCGGGGCTGGGATACCACGGTGACCCACAAAGACACCTTGAAATAACTTCCTTCACGCCTTACCAGCCAAATAGGTGACAGACTACCAAACTGCCAATAATGAGCGTGTGTGAGGTCAGGTGAGGCTCAGAGGGCCATAATAGGAAACTAAGCTTCTTCCAAAAGTCACTTACTTTGTCGGGGGCTCCTGGACTGTCTCGCAGGCAGGGGTGGTTTACCCAATAAAAAAGTAAGCACTAACTTACTTGTGCTCACTTGCAAAGACAAGTAAGCCATGCTTACCTTGTTTAATGGGTACTCCATCCCTTCCAGGGACTGTAAATTTGAAAAGAGACTTTTGATCTGCAGAAGATGCCGGGAGGTTGGGAGACAGTTGCCAACCATGCCTAAAAGCAGAATCTTTTATGTGGTGAAATAATGTGAAATTGTTCAGTACAAACTAGTTAAGTAGACACATGGAGGGCCACCCACCAAGATGAGCAGTGGAAGAGGCAAGTTTGGGGGACTCCTGCACAGTGTCGACCCCTCTCACAGACTCAGCCTGATCACTCCCCTGGTATCCCTTATTGCTTTGTTGTTGTAAGTGCCCTGGCGTGGGTTCCCACCCATAGCAACACTGTATAGGGTTTCCGAGGAGCAACTGATGAACTTGAACCACCAACCTTGAGGTTCAAACTGACTTTGCAATCCAGCACATTATGCCAGACTCCACAAAATCTCAAACGTTCAGAAATTCAAATAGCAAAGACACTATAGGACAAGCACTCAATCGCAAGGTCAGTTTGAACCGCAAGATTGGTGGTTCAAATTTACCAGCTGCTTCTGGGAAGTCCTATACAAACAGGGTCACTATGAGTCAGAAAAGATTCAATGGTACTTAATAACAACATATGCGAGACAGCATTTGAGGTGATAGGAATAAATAGCAGTAAACAAAATGGATCCAAATTTCTACCCTACTGCTGCTTACAGTCTAGTGGAGAAAAGACAGTAAATAAGCATAGTGGTAGTGGTTACGAATCGGGCTGCGAACCTTAAGGTCAGCAGTTCGAAACTTCCAGCTGTTCCGCGGGAGAAAGATGAGGCTTTCTGCTCCCGTAAAGATTTACAGCCTCGGAAACCCTGTACAGGGTCGCTATGAGTTGGAGCTGACTCCATGGCACATAATAACAACAACAACAAGTGAGAGTGCTCTGAAGAAAATTAGAGCAAAATTAAGAGAACAGCAAGTATTTGCAGGAATTGCCACTTTAAATAGGGTGGGCTAGGAAGGCATCACAGAAGATGATAGTTGAGCAGACTAGATAGGAGGTGAGGGATTGACTCATGCAGACCTCTGATTGAAGAGTTTCAGGCCGAGGGAACAGCAAGGCCAAAGACCCTGAAGGCAGAAGTTTGCCTTCACTGGTTCAAGGAACAAAATGGAGGCCAGTTTGAAGGAGGGGGACGGTGGTAGAGTTGAGAAGTTACAGGAGGCTGGATCACATATGGTCATGTATACCAGTGAATTATACTGAGTGAGATGGGAACTTTTGGAGGAATTGGGCAGAGAAGTGATATTAATAGTGGCCATGCTAGGATCATTTGGAGTGCTTTAAAAAAATATTTCTTCCTAATTTATGGCATAAATAGATGGACAAACATAACTTAAAATGAACAAACAGAATATAAACTAGAAAAATGGAACCTCCTATAAAAAAAAGGGGTCCTGGTGTGATGCTGGAGGATAAGAACTGGACTGCCAAACGCAAGGTCAGCAGTTCAAACCCACCAGCTGCTCCTTGGAAACGCTAGAGTCACACTGAGTCAGAACTGATTCAACAATACTTAACAAGAAACAATAAAAATTAAATACCTAGTTTTATCAAAAGACTTCACCAAAAGAGTAAAAAGAGACCCTAAAGACTGAATAAAGAAAGAAGCTCTGGTAGCATAATGGTTATAAATCGGGCTGCTAACCTCAAGGCTAGCAGTTTGAAACTACCAGCTGTTCCATAGGAGAAAGTCTCCTGTAAAGACTTACAGCCTCAGAAACCCTATACAAGGAGTCGCTATGAGTTAGAACTGACTCCATAGCACACCACCATCACCACCAAAGACTGAATAAGGAACTCTGTGGCTCTGTAGAATAAGCACTGTACTGCCTGCCAACCACAGGCCAGCAGTTTGAGCCTTTCAGCCACTTTGAAACGGTTTTCTGTTCTCAAAGCCTCAGAAACCCTTTACAGGGTTGCTATGAGTCAGAATCGACTTGACGGCACTTAACAACAACAAAGATAGGGGATAGTTTTGACAAAGACTTCCTTTGTTGTTGTTAATTGTCATCTAGTTAGTTCTGACACAGAGCAAGCAACCCTATATAAGCTTTCCAAGGAGCAGCTAGTGGGTTTGAACTGCTTTGTGATTAGCAGTCTAGTACTTATCCTACAACGTCACACCAGGACAAATCTCTAAAATTTATAGAAAACTTCAACAACAAAAAGACAAATGGGCAAAGAACATGAACAGACATTTCATCAAAGACATTCAAGTGGCTAGCACACACATGAAAAGATGTCTGTGAGTATTAGGCATTGTTGATTGGTATTAGGTACCCTCATATGAGTTCTGATTCATAGTGACCCTATGCACAACAGAACAAAACACTGCCTGATCCTGTGCTATCCTAATTTTTGTTACATTTGAGTCCCTTGTTACTGCTACTGTATCAACCCATCTTATTGGGTGACTTTTTCGCGGATCCTCTATTTTACCAAGCATGATGTCCTTCTCCAGGGACTGGTCCCTCCTGATAACATGTCCAAAGCATAACAGATGAAGTCTCATCATTTTCGCTTCTAAGAAGCATTCTGGCTTTACTTCCTCCAAAACAGATTTTTTGCTCTCTGGCAATCCATGGGACTTTCAGTATTCTCCAACACCATAATTCAGATGCATTGATTCTTCTACTGTGTGCTTTATGCATTGTCCAACTTTCACATGCATACTAGTCTATCGAAAATACCACAGTTTAGGTCAGGCGAACCTTAGTCCTCAAACACTTTGCCCTTTAACGCTTTAAAGAGCAGATATGTCTAATGCAATACATCGTTTGATTTCTTAACTGTTACTTCCATGGGTATTGATTGTGGATCCAAGCAAAATTAAGTCTTTGACAACATCAATCTTTTCTTCATTTATCATGATGTTATTTTTTTTGGTCCAGTTGTTTTCTTTATACTGAGACACAATCCTTACTGAAGGCTGTCATCTTTGATCTTCATCATTAAGTATTTGAAGTCCTTTTCGCTTTCAGCAAGCAAGGTTGTATCATCTGCATATCACAGGTTTTAAATGAGTCTGCCTCTAATCCCGATGCCATGTTTTTCATATAATCCAGCTTCTCAGATTATTTGCTCAGCAAACAGATTGAATAAGCATGAAAGGATACAGCCCTGGTGCACACCGTTCCTGATTTTAAACAGTTCAGTATCCTCTTGTTCTGTTCAAACAACTTCCATTTGGTTTATGTATGGATTCCTCATGAGCACAATTAAATGTTCTGGAATACCCATTCTTCACAATTTTATCCATAGTTTGTCATAACCTACACAGTTGAAAGACTTTTCATAGTCAATAAAGCACAAGTAAACATCTTTCTATTATTCTTTGTTTTCAGCCAAGATCCATTTGACGTCAACAATGATGTCCTTAGTTCCCTAGTTCCACGTCCTGTTCTGAATCCAGTTTGTACTGTTGCAACCGTTTTTTAATTATCTTTAGGAAAATTTTACTCGCATGTGATATTTAATGATATTGTTAGATTACTTCTGCATTTTGTTGGGTTACCTCTCTTTGGAATGGACACAGATATGGACTTGTCCAATTTGTTGGTCAGGTAGCTGTCTTCCACATTTCTTGGCATAGACAAGTGAGTGTCTCCAGTGCTGTATCACTTTGTTTAAAGAGTTCAATTTGTATTCTGACAATTCCTAGAGCTTTGTTTTTCACCTGTGTTTTCAATGCACCTTGAACTTCTTCCTTCAGTATCATTGGGTCTTGATCATATGCTACCTCTTGAAATGATTGAACATTGACCATTTCTTTTTGGCACAGAGACTCTGTATTCCTAATATCTTCTTTTGATACTTTATACATCATTCAATATTTTGTCCACAGAATCCTTCAACACTGTAAGTCTAGGCTTAAGTTTTTCTTCAGTTCTTTCAGCTTGAGAATTTCTGAGCATGTTCTTCCTTTTTAGTTTTCTAACTCCAGGTCTTTGCATATTTTATTATATTTGATTTTGTCTTCTCAAGTTGCCCTTTGAAATTTTCTGCCCAGTTCTCCAACTTCCCCTTATTTATTTCATTCACTTTAGCTTCTCTATGCTTAAGAGCAAGTTTCAGAGTCTCTTCTGACATCTGTTGTGGTCTTTTCTTTCTTTCTTGTCTTTTTAATGACCTTTTGCTTTCTTTGTATGATGTTCTTGGTGTCATTTTACCACTCTTCCAGTCTTTGGTCATTAGTGCCTAATGCATCAATCTGTTCTTGAAGTGGTCTCTAAGTTCAGGTAAGATATAGTCAAGGTCATCTTTTGTTTCTCATGGACTTGTTTTTTCTTCAGCTTCAACCTGAACTTTCATATGACCAATTGATGGTCTGTTTCAGAGTTTGCCCTTCGCCTTGTTTTACCAGATGATATTGAGCTTTTCCATCATCTTTTTCCACAGATGTTGTTAGTTTGATTCCTATGTGTTCCACCTGGTGAGATTCACATGTATAGTCACCCTTTATGTTGTTGAAAAAAGATATTTGCAATAAATAAGTCATTGGTCTTGCAAAATTTTATTACGCGGTCTCCAGCATCATTTCTATCACTAAGGCCATATTTTCAAGTACTGATCCTTTCTCTTTGTTTCTAACCTTTGCATTCCAATTGTCAATAATTATCAATGTATCTTGATTACATGATTCAATTTCAGATTGAAGAAGTTGGTTGTTGTTGTTAAATGCCGTGGATCGGTTCCAATTCATAGTGACCCTGCACAGGGTTTCCGAGGCTGTAAATCTTTACGGGAGCAGAAAGCCTCATCTTTCTCCCGCAGAACATCTGGTAGTTTCAAACTGCTGACCCTGAGGTTAGCAGCCTGATTTGTAACCACTACACTACTAGAATTCTTGAATTTCATCATCACTGGCTTTAGTGGTTGGCATGTAAATTTGAATAATAGTTGTATTAACTGGTCTTCTTTGTGGGCAGATGGATATTATCTTATCACAGAGTTGTACACTTC